CGAGCCGAGCCTGCGGCGGGCGGGCGGGCGCGCTCAGACACACGTAGGCTGCCAGAGTATGCCGTGGGGCAGTGCCAAAGTATGCAAAGGAAAAATGCTATTAGCTCATCAGCGCTGGAGAGACTAGAAACGGGGCGGCGGGGAGGGGGAAGGGGCCGCTAGCGAGAGAGGAAACATGTTTCTGGAAAATGTGCTGGCCGGCACATCTCCCGGGCTGGAGCAGCTGCTGGGGACCTTCGTCTCAGCGCTGAGTAACAGTCGGATCCCCTTAATGACCTCTTAATTAGGAGAAAACCTCCATCAAATAAACTCTCGACTATTGACTTTTGGGTTTTCTGCCTATGAGTCACACGAGAAAAATACACTGGCGGTGCTCCTCCCGGAGTAAGTTTTCATTGAAAAGTGAAATTTCACATGGGAGAGGCTTAGCCCCGTCACCAGAACAAATAAACCTGGCTCGGGCAGCGTCTCCCCAAAACCGTGCTGGAGAAGAGGAGCAGGCCGTGGCCCGAAACCCTCTCCCTCCCTTCCTGCTTTTACAAGAGTTCATCAACGCTGTGTTTTGATAAGTCCAATCACCCAGCCAGGGAAAGGAATTGAGGTCCGTGGATTTCAGCCAAAACTCCTTTTGGGTGTATTTTTCCAAGGGCTGTTTGCTTATGAATCCTTGCAAAGGAATGGAGGAGAATACACAGCAGTTCTCCTTCACCAAAAGTTTGCTGGTGAGGATATTTCCTAAGTGATTCCCGTCAAAGACAATCAGCCCAGGCTGCAAGTTTTTACCCTACTGAGCTAGATGCAAGACACCTTCCTGCCGCTGCTGGCTTCCCCAGGTCAGGTTCACAGTCCACATGCTACTGGCTGGGCAGATATTTGCCACTGTACTTTGATGTTCTTGATACAGTTCTCCTGTCATTTTTTTCTGTTGTAGTTTATTTTAATTGCATATTACTTCTAATGGTTCACACTTCATAACCAAAGTCCTGCAAAACGTGGTCCTGCATTGTGGCTGTGGTGGATTGTGAATTCTGATTTACACTGCTATCCCATTAGTAGTAGTAGTACTTAGCTTTAAAGTAGCTCTTTGTAGCCCCTGAAATCAGCAGTGCCATCCTGGGCATCGAAGTTAGCCCTGCGACAGGTGGGTCAGAAGCTGTGACCAGTGCTTGGTACCCACCACTTGCCACACCAGGCTTGCCTGCTCTGCTCTTGATCTCGGGAGACCTGTACTGCAGGCAAGTGTGCAGCCTAGTGGACTTACTTAAGCACTGTTCACTTCCCTGCAGTCACCCAAACAACCTACAGGGTTAAAATCACCGGAAAATCAGCAGTTGACTGTAAAAATTCCCAGTCTGGAGAACACCGAGGAGCGCAGGGCGGGTATGCATCAAAGAGAGCAAAGTCTTCTTACTGGGGAATACCCCCCATAGCAAAATGGGTGTTTGTTACCACTGCTAGCCAGCACCAGGCTGGTGGGGACCATCCACTGGACTGGGCCCCAAACCAGAACCAGTAACTCGTCTCTTCCCACAAGCAGGTTGTGCCTGATGCTCTAGTTAGTACTAGCCTGGGCAGCCTGCTACAGAGGTGGTTGGGTTTGGGTTCTCTTATTCATCATATCTGCGGGCTGCTCATCCTCTCTGATCTTTCTTATTGTGGCTTTGAAAATATTATTCTCCATTTACGGGTTTGCCCAGAACAATCAGTGACTAAGACTGAGTAAAATGGAAAGGTTGAAGATAGGAAAAATACAACACTGAAGGAATGAGGTTTCTGTCTTTCTAATCTTCCTCTAAATCTTACTAGTGTTACAAACAGCAGGTTGTTGCCCAATGTGTGATATTAGACAATGTTTCCACACAGTGGGATTCTAGCCATATTTTTTTTTCCTTATTAAGTAACTATTTTTCATGAAACTGGAGAAAGCATAGCTGAGGCTAGTCCTGCCCATTTATCAGCCATTCACGTTGTTTGGAACTTTTTCCATAGCACTAATTTAATTTTCCAAAGCACTAATATAGGTTTCATAAAGCGTGAAAAGCACTATCAGCATCCCTAGAGAGTTGCATCCTTCACTTATCATTAGGTGCCTATGTCCATTCAAATACTGTCCTCTCCTCACAGGTTACCTAATTATACCTAGCTTTTATACCTTGGGTCTCTCTAAACCATTAAAAAGCCCACCAGTATATGTGACGAGAACTATGGATGTGAAATTCTCTCCAATACCTTAAAAGCCTGGTAAGCAAGCCAGGTACTGTGATTGCATTAAAAGTGCCCTAAAAACTCCTGAGTACTCTGGTATTAAGCTTTCTCATGAGGTTAATACAGCTTCTTTGTAAAGCCCAGTTCTCATACTGGATCGCAGTTAATTTAGTTACTTAAGCATTTGCCTACATCTTTCATTTTTGGATGAAATGACTGGTATGTCTGGGTACTTGTTGCACTGGCGATTTTTATTTCCGCCACCTACAGAAATAAATCCAGTCTATATCAACTGAGAAATTAAAATTCCCCTCACCAGACAATGACACTAATTGAAGCAGGTATCAGTAAGTAATCACAATAATCACAAACAAACTGAGATCAGGAGGTATTTTATATTTACCAATTACCAATTAATTGGTAGATTGTTGAAGTCCTCATTCAAAGGTTACAAATGGAAAAAATGTCTTCAATGGCATGTGTAGTGTTTGAAGTCCTCCTTATGTGTACACCACTATTAAACAGCAGTTGTGAATCTCAAAAATGGAAAAAGATTAACCTGTTCTTCAAAAAAAACTTTAACAACAAAAAAAAAACCCAGAACCAAAGCTCTTTGAATTTGGCATGTCTTAGTACATGTCCTAAGAGAGACAATTTAAGGTTCTCTAAGCTCACTGTTTTGTGTGTGGATGAAAAAAAGTGTGACAGTATAGAAAAGTGGAAGTTATTTTAAATAACAGACAGTTTACACCAGTCACATTATTTGTTACTTTTAATGTTACTTTTAAAAAAATCATAAATTCTGTTGTTATAGGATGGCTAAAATGTTTTCTTGCTTAGTGTTAAATTAGGATGCTTAGCTAGAGTAACATACGTGAAGCAAGAAATATAAATAATTTTATAAAATCCTAATGTGAAACTAGACAAACTTAATATGTGTTAAGTGTATTTTTTTGAAGCTCGTATTTATTTGTTTGGGATTGAAGGGTTAGATATTGAGGAGTAGCTATGAAAAAGTTGAAGAGTAGTGGCTGGTTTCAGCTTTCTGTATCTGAGAAAAATTTAGTTTAATCATCCAAGTTATGCTTCAGTAGACAAAGAACTTACTCTGATTCTTCTGTTTGCATAAACACTGATTTGCAACTAGATCATTCAAATTTCTCTTGTTTTGCATATCTTATAATATTTTTTATAACTTGTAATTTTTTGCATTCAAATATTCAAAATGGGGTGATTTTGTTGCACACTAGAACACTATGGATTTTTCTGAAGCAGGTTTTACAGCAGGTTGAGGTATATTTATTTAAATCTCACTTGTCAATGTATTGGAATAAAAGGTTCCTAATTGTAATGAATTTCCCTTAATAACTGGAATTAAAATGTTAAGATATTCTTTACAGTATGTGAACTTCACTAGAAACTAAGAACAGTCTGTAATGAGTTGTTTGGTTTTTTTAACAAACCAACTTAATTAGAGACCAGGGTTATAGGCTTTTTCTGACATCAGTAGTCTTTGGGGCAGACTGCAATAATTTATTTTCACAAAAGTTAATCCTCTAGTTAAATTTAGCTACCATTTATAGGTCTGATTTTGGAGTCTTTAATCAGGCAGTTTCCT